GGTTACACTGCTGCTACAAATAAGGAACATAAATTTCATGATAAAAAGACAAAATAAGTCAACCAGAAATATACCTGGATAAGAAAAAATGGCACTCAACAAATGATGCTGGAAAAACTGCACATCAACACGCAAAAGAATGAAACTGGACACCCTTCCTGATGTGATAGACAAAAATTAACTCAAAATGGATCACAGACCTTGATGTAGAAATAAAATTATACAACTCTTAGGAGCAAATCTTCATAATCTTGGGTTAAGCAAAGGTTGCCTAGATATAACACCAAAAACACAAGCAAAAAAATAAAAACTAGATACACTGGCATCATATCAAAATTTAAAACTTTCATGCAGCAGGTGATACCATCAAGAAAAATGAAAAAACCACCCGAAAGAATGGAAAAAAGTATTTGAAAATCCTATTCCTGGTCCAGAATATATAAAGAACACTTATAACTCAACAATAAAAACAATCTAATTAAAAACTGGGCAAAGGAACTGAAGGCACTGCTCCAAAAAAGATAAACAAATAACTAATAAGCACATGAAAAGATTAACCATTAGAGAAATGCAAATCAAAATGACAGTGAGATACAATTTCATATCCACTGGATTGGCTAAAATAAAAAAAGATAGCAACAAGTGCTGACAAGGATATGGAGAAACTAGAACCCTTATACATTGCTAGTGGGAACAAAAAATGGTGCAAGCATTTTGTTACACAGTTTGGCAGTTCCTCAAAATGTTCTATGATTCCATTTATGTAAAGTGAACAAACTACACAAACCCATGAAGACAGAAAGTAGTAACTGCCTGGGGAAGGGACAGAATGAAGAGTGACTGCGAATGTGTATGGGGTTTCTTTGAGGGCTGACGAAAATGTTCCAAAGTTAGATCATGGTAACTGTTGCAAAATTCTGTGAATTTGCTAAAAAAAAATGAATTGTACAGTTTAAACTGCTAAACTGTACAGTATATGAATATCTCAATAAAGCTATTGTTTTAAAGGCAAGGTATTTCACTGCTAAGTTTAAAAGACTGTTTTAAAATCTTAAATAACAATTAAAACAATATTAATTGCTCGTACCCAGAGAGAAAAGTGAGGAAATAGCTTATTTTGAATAAGTGATATGAAAGAAGACTAGAGATACATAGACGTGATTTGAAAAATGAGAATATTGAGCTATTGTTCATGAGTGATTTGGGACCAATATTCGGTGATCAATTTTTGCAGTGTATTAGCAGCACAATATTTTGTGATCAATTTCTGTAGTGCATTAGCACTACAAAGCAAGAATCAATATTATTTTTAAAATAAGACATGCCCCTACAAGCAATAAATGCTGGAGAGGGTGTGGAGAAAAGGGAACCCTCTTACACTTGGTGGGAATGCAAACTAGTACAGTCGCTATGGAAAACAGTGTGGAGATTTCTTAAAAAACTGGAAATAGAACTGCCATATGACCCAGCAATCCCACTTCTGAGCATACACACTGAGGAAACCAGATCTGAAAGAGACATGTGCACCCCAATGTTCACCGCAGCACTGTTTATCATAGCCAGGACATGGAAGCAACCTAGATGCCCATCAGCAGACAAATGGATGAGGAAGCTGTGGTACATATACACCATGGAATATTACTCAGCCATTAAAAAGAATTCATTTGAATCAGTTCTAATGAGATGGATGAAACTGCAGCCCAGTATACAGAGTGAAGTAAGCCAGAAAGATAAAGACCATTACAGTATACTAACACATATATATGGAATTTAGAAAGATGGTAACGATAACCCTATATGCAAAACAGAAAAAGAGACACAGATGTATAGAACAGACTTTTGGACTCTGTGGGAGAAGGCGAGGGTGGGATGTTTCAAGAGAACAGCATCGAAACATGTATATTATCTATGGTGAAAGAGATCACCAGCCCAGGTTGGATGCATGAGACAAGTGCTCGGACCTAGTGCACTGGGAAGACCCAGAGGGATCGGGTGGAGAGGGAGGTGGGAGGGGGGATAGGGATGGGGAATACATGTAACTCCATGGCTGATTCATGTCAATGTATGACAAAACCCACTGAAATGTTGTGAAGTAATTAGCCTCCAACTAATAAAAAATAAAAAATTAAAATAAAATAAAATAAGACATGCCCTTACATTTAGTGGGCTTCTTTCCTCATCTGCAAAATTAGGACTTGTAGCTAACAAAATAATTTTTGAGATGAAGACAGAGAAGAGATGGCTGCTTCCCCAAAAGAATCTTCTAGGCAACAGCCTCTGTATGCATGGATAAGCTTGGGACTTTTAGAATTACAATGAATAAGGAAAGTCACTCCTTACGACAAACAGTAATCAATTAATATTGCAAGTACTGTTTCAAGATTAAAATAAGGCTAGTTATATAATGAAAAAGTCAAGCCATTGTGGCTCCTCAAACAAAAAGGGATAAAACTGGAAGAATAATTTGGTACCACAGATTACTATTATTTAGTTCCTCTTCAGTTAGAACACCTATCTCAGGGAGAGGTAAGAACCAAGAGCCTTAAAAATGCCTTAAAAGACAAGAAATAGGAAAGACTATGAACAGGGATAGAGGCTGAGATTTACAGTTGAGGGTAATGTTAGGAAGGAAAGCCTATTGCCTTTATCATACCTGTTTACTGAGTGTGATGGAAAACCAAAAGATAATGATTATGAACATGCACCGAGGCTAAAGCATGAGATCTGAAACACCAAGTCTATACACGCTACTGCTTCTGCATGGGATAAGGAAGAAAGATGAGATCATCTCCTATGAATACGGGCAGGAACAAGCTAGACTGAAGACAAAGACAGTGGATATTACTTGTATTATAGGATGTTCATATGATTGAATCTTGGGTCTGATAGTTAAGATTTAGGGTTATCCATCAAAGACAGGACAATGCCAAAAATGAAAAGCCCCTGATAAAAATAAAAGACAGTCAACAAAAGAAAATAAAACTAGTAGGACAGTGCAGCGGTTCTCAAAACTTTTCTTACCATGTCCCCTTAGGACAAAATATCTCTACTTCATTTAGCCCAAAAAATCCCCACTTTCCAGTGAAATTCAGTGATAATGCAGCAAATTTTAGGGGAAATGGATAACATTTTAAACATAACGTATATACTCTTCAGTCAACATAATGGAAAATTATAGGCCAAACTGCAGCTGAACAAATATGCATTATTATTCAGTGGAGAGCTAATATAATAAATCACAGCAATCTAAATTGATAACACTAAATTAAGTCATTTATCATATAAACCAAAAACTGAACTGAATAGCAACTGAAAACAACCAACTCAAGACAATATTAATGGTATTCTGATGAAAAATCCTTCCTAAAAACTCTGGTAATCCCAACTATTCCAGTGGGAGCTTTGCTTGGCTGCCAACTATATAACTCAGCAGCCAAATTTCTTAGTAGAATACTCAAACAGCATCCTCTGTAAGTCTAATAATATTTTGTTTTACAAAAACCAATATTAATAACCAATAGTACTGCACACAGATTACCAGTACGTAGTCTTAGTTTTTATAAAAGTAAAGATAATGAAATGAGGGTCATTCACCTTTAAGAGCTCAAGAAAATACGAAAAGAGAGGAGCATGTCATGATCATAGTGCAGTCAGGGACAAAAAGCAAACTACTAAGGATGGTCATGTCCCATGTCCAGGTCTGGCACTGGGAGAACCATGTGCCCTGGAGAAGGAAGCTGTGGAGGTGGAGATGAGAAGCGAAGTTCGCAGCCTGCCCCTCTTTCAACCACTTTCATGAGGCAACTTCTCCCCATGAAAAAAACAAGCAGTGAGTAATAATCTCTATGAAGGGAGGAAGAGCGACCCAAGACTGTACAAGGTGGGTAAGATCATTCTCTCTGTTGGGTGCATGGAGATCAGAAGGTGCCACAGGAAGGACGATGTGTTGGCTCTAATAAACTGAGGGGAAAAAGAAAGGTAGTTTGTGCTTGGTTGAGTAATTAACAAAAAGTACAAATAGATGGTGATCCCCAACTGAGGCGGAACAAGAGGGGTTAAGAACCATACTCTGGATCCAGAATGCCTGAGCAGGAATCTCGACTCTCCTACTTTATTTTCTCTGTGACCTTGGGCAAGTCACTTAACCTCTATGGGCTTCATCTGTAAAATGAGGGTAATAACAGTACCTACCTAACAGGGCTGTTTTGCGGTTTGAATAAGTTATACTTGTAAATCTCTTCATAAATGTCTTGCGCTGTACACAGTACGATGTACCTAAGTTTATTAAACAGTTGAGGTAAGTGGCGGCTTAGTTTGACGTCTCCAAGTGAAATGGGGGTGTGTGGGCAAAGTAAGGGTCACGGGGAACGGAGGGAGACAACGTCTTTTCTGCGATGAGCACCAGGAATCCGACCTTTGGGGAGGTCGTCCTCCTGACAGGGCTCGACAAGTACCCGCTCCCAGGAGAGGGGCGCGCGGGTTGAAGGAAACTTCCTTCCTTCCAGGCCTAGGATTTTCAGTAACTCGTTTCTGAGAAGTAATTGTGATTTTTTAAAGAGGCAAGAGTTTGCTCTCCGAGCAACAGACCGTGGGGTGAATTCTGTTTTGCCTGAAGAGTAGGACCTGCGTCTGGGGCAGAAGGGTGATGTCCTCAGGGGGACCCTCTGCTAAGAACCACCATCTGTCGGGCGCGCTCCGGCTGCCCGCGCCGGGCCAGCCTCGGAGGGAGAACGAATGCTGCCCAGCCCTGAGGGAGGCAGAAAGAGCCTACAGGGTAACGGGGCTGCCGGCGCCGACGGTCGGGAAGGAACCCCACGTCGGGTCCGCGGGGCTACGGAGGGGGACCTGCCTCGCCGAGGGTGGAGGTCACTCGCCGGGTTCTCCGAAGGGAGGGGCCGGCGCTGGCCCTGCAGGAGGCCGGCCGGGCGCACAGTCCCGAGGGAGCCTGCTCCCGGGTCCCGCCCGTGCCCACCCGTCTGTGGCCCCGGTACCCAGGGTACCTGAGCGTGGGCCCGATGCAGGCCGTGTCGGTGCTCTCGATCTCTCGAAGAATCCGTTCGTGCTCCGCCGCTGTCTCTAGGCTCTCCGCCTCCGCCATCTTAACCCGCTCCATAGGCTCGGGGAGCCCCGCAGCGCGTCCCCTCCCTCAGCTTCCCTCACCTTTCGCTCTCAATCTCTCTCTCTCACTCCAGGCTCCCGGGGATCGTAAGCCTCCGGCCACCCGCAGGACGACCCCTCCCTCAGACTGGGCACGCCCCCTAGCATCACCACGTCCGCGGACGTTCCGCGCGATGCCCGCTGGGATTTGTAGTTCTCTGGGAGAAATAGCCAGGTTTCACACATTATTCATTGAAGCTACAAACTTGTATTAAAAGCTCCACTATATCCAGTGGCTAACTGAACTGAACTGAAGATTCCGTACTCCCAAGGCAGGGTGCCAGGGTTCAATCCCTGGTCAAGGAATTAGATCCCATGTGCTGCAACCATAACCCGGTGCAGCCAAATAAACTTGTTTTTTAGAGGGGAAAAAAATGTTCTACTGTAAGGCAGGAACAATTGAGGACTCCATATGCAACGACGACTGTCAGGCAGTTCTTGTTTAAGGCCCTTGCCTCAAAGTGCAAAAGCCTCTTTAGGCGCGAATATTAAGAAAGGATTAACTAGGTTTCTCTAAACAGAGATCTTACAAGTTATGAAGGAGGAAAAGCCCAAAACTAAAAAACTCAAAACTAACAGATAAGGTGTAATGTACCTCTAAGCAAGTTCTGAGAATCAAACACTGCAAGCACTTCTGTCTGCGAAGAATTCATTGACAGACTGTGCCTGAACATTTCAAAAGGTGTGATTGGAAGGTGTGAGAAGCACCTAGAAAACCAGAAAGAACTTCATTTGCACTGGTGTGTAGAGAATTAGCAACAAGAGATGGTGCTAGAAAACCATCTTGGAAAAGGAATACCAGGAACAGAAATTTGAACTTTATTCTAATGGTTCAATGGGGCCAATAACCACCTGCATCAAAAGCATCATGGATTTCTTTTTTATTACAAATCAAAGACTAGAGATCTCTTCAAGAAAACTGGCAATATCAAGGGAACATTTCATGCAAGGATGAGCACGAAAAGGACAGGAACCGTAAGGACCTAACAAAAGCAGAAGAGATTAAGAAGAAGTGGCAAAAATACACAGAACTATACAGGAAAGGTCTTAATGAGACAGATAACCCTGATGGTGTGGTCACTCATCTAGAGCCAGACATCCTGTGGTGTGAAGTCAAGTGGGCCTTAAGAAGCATTTATTTTTGTTTAGTCATTAAGTTTTATTCTGCTCTTCTACAGCTCCAATGCCTGGAGCCTGCCAGGCTTCTCTGTCCATGGCATTTTCCAGGCAGTAATGGAGTGGATTGCCATTTCCTTCTCCAGGAGATCTTCCGAACCCAGGGATCAAACCCACATTCTCTTCCGTCTCCTGCTTGAAAGGTGGATCCTTTACCACTGAGACACCTGGAAAATATTACTATGAACAAAGCTAGTGAAGGTAATGGAATTCCAGCTGAGCTATTTCAAATCCTAAAAGATGATACTGTTAAAGTTCTGCACTCAATATGTCAACAACTTTGGAAAACTCAGAAGTGGCCACAGGACTGGAAAATGTCAGTTTTCTCTCCAATCCCAAAGAAGGGCAATGCCAAAGGATGTCTAAACTACAGTGTAATTGCATTCATTTCACATGCTAGCAAGGCTATGCTCAAAATCCTTCAAGCTAGGCTTCAGCAGTATGTGAACCAAGAACTTCCAGATATATAACCTGGGTTTAGAAAAGGCAGAAGAACCAGAGATCTAATTGCCAACATTCACTGGATCATGGAGAAAGCAAGGGAGTTCCATAAAAGCATCTAGCTCTGCTTCATTGACTATGCTAAAACCATTGGCTGTGTGTTCTTAATCCTGTCTGACTTTGCAACCCCATGGACTGTAGTCCACCAGGCTCCTCTGTCCATGGAATTGTCCAGGTAAGACTAGTGTAGCAGGTTGACATTTCCTGTTTCAGGGGATCTTCCTGACCCAAGGGTCAAACCATCATCTCTTGTGTCTCCTGAATTAACAGGCAGATTCTTTACCACTAGCACCACCAGAGAAGCCCAAGTCTATTAGGATATTTTCCCTTTAAAAGATTTACTGTTGCAAATTGGATATAAAATACTCATATATGGTTCTGTCCATCCACAGGAAGAAAGTAAATATGAACTTGGTGTTTACAGTCAGAATATGGACCCTAAAGTACATTTACTGGGAACAAAGGTGAAAATGAGAAAGAAACTGGCCATTATAAGTTCCTGGACAATACAAAGGATGTTTTCAGTGCAAAACATTTTCAGTGCAAAAAGACTGATTATGTTTTGTGAAAAGTTTATGCATCGGTCTTTACTACTATATTTTTTAAAAGAAAAGTTATTTCAAGTTTTAAAAAGGCAATAGGACTTTAATTATTTCTTATTAAAGCAACTTTTCATAAACATTTATATCATGTTTAAAAGGTCAGATTCATTCCAGACCACCTGAACTGCCTCCTGAGAAATCTGTATGGAGGTCAGGAAGCAACAGTTAGAATGGGACATGGAACAGCAGACTGGTTTCAAATCAGAAAAGAGTATGTCAAGGCTGTATATTGTCACCCTGCTTATTTAACTTATATGCAGAGTACATCATGAGAAACACTGGGCTAGATGNATCAAGGCTGTATATTGTCACCCTGCTTATTTAACTTATATGCAGAGTACATCATGAGAAACACTGGGCTAGATGAAGCACAAGCTGGAATCAAGATCATTGGGAGAAATATCAATAACCTCAGATATACAGATGCACTACCCTTACAGCATAAAGCAAAGAAGAGCTAAAGAGAGTCTTGATGAACATGAAAGAGGAGACTTAAAAAGTTGGCTTAAAATCCAATATTCAAAAAACTAAGATCATGACATCTGGTCCCATCACTTCATGCCAAATAGATGGGGAAGCAATGGAAACAGTGACAGACTTTATTTTGGGGGGCTCCAAATTCACTGCAGGTGGTGACTGCAGCCATGAAATTAAAAGACACTTGCTCCTCAAAAGGAAAGTTGTGACCAATCTACATAGCATATTAAAAAGCAGAGATATTACTTTGCCAACAAAGGTCCATCCAATCAAAGTTATGATTTTTCTGGTAGTCAAGTATAGATGTGAGAGTTGGACTATAAAGAAAGCTGAGCACCAAAGAATTGATGCTTTTGTACCGTGGTGTTGGAGAAGACTTTTGAGAGTCCCTTGAGCAGCAGGGAGATCCAACCAGTTCATCCTAAAGGAAATCAGTTCTGAATATTCATTGGAAGGACTGATGCCGAAGCAGAAACTCCAATTCTTTGACCACCTAATGAGAAGAACTAACTCAATGGAAAAGACCCTGATGCTGGGAAAGATTGAGGGCAGGAGGAGAAGGGGAGGACAGAGGATGAGATGGTTGGATGGCATCACCAACGTGATGGACATGAATTTGAGTAAACTGCAGGAGTTGGTGGTGGACAGGGAAGCCCGGCGTGCTGTAGTCCATGGGGTCTCAAAGAGTTGGACATGACTGAGCGACTGAATTGAACTGAACTGAAGAACCAATTAGAACAGATTGAGACCCTAAATCTGATTTTTGCTATAGATTCTTTCTGGTGAAGAAATTACACCACATGTGATCAGTATAAAAAATACAATATTAAAAGAGCATAAACCTTAACGAGTTAGAGAAGGCTAATGCAGAACTGACAGGAAATTACCAACTTATTTATTTTCCAACAAAAGTTCTAAGTTTTGTTTTTTTACCTCAACTTCAGCACAATTCTACTTATATTAAATATTGTTTCTATTTATCTGTATTAAAAGGTGATAGAATGTTTCAGTGAGTGTGTGGATTACAACTGTGAAAAATTCTTAAAGAGAAAGGAATATCAGACACCTTCCCTGTATCCTGAGAAACCTGTATGCAGGTCAAGAAGCAACAGTTAGAACCAGACATGGAACATCTGACTGGTTCAAAGTTGGAAAAGGAGTACATCAAAGCTGTATATTATCACCCTGCTTACTTAACTTATATGCAAAGTACATTATGCAAAATGCCAGACTGGGTAAATCCCAAGCTGGAATCAAGATTGCAGGGAGAAATATTAACAACCTTAGATCCAGATTGCAGATGATACAACCAGAATAGAGAAAATGAAGACAAACTAAAGAGTCTCTTGATGAAGATGAAAGAAGAGAGTGAAAAAGCTGGCTTGAAACTTAACATTCAAAAAACTAAGATCATGGGAGGGGGGATCAGGATGGGGAACACATGTAAATCCATGGCTAATTCATGTCAATGTATGACAAAACCCACTACAATATTGTAAAGTAATTAGCCTCCAACTAATAAATAAATAAATAAATTTAATAAAATAAAATAAAGCTAAAAAAAAAAAAACTAAGATCATGGCATCTGGTCCCATTACTTCATGGCAAATAGAAGGGGAAAAAGTGGAAATAGTGACAGATTTTATTTTCTTGGTCTCCGAGATCACTGTGGACAATGACTGCAGCCATGAAATTAAAAGATGCTTGCTTCTTGGAAGGAAAGTTCTGACAAACATAAACAGCATATTAAAAAGCAAAGACAAAAATAAAAAATAAAAATCAAGGACGTAACTTTAAGGGCAAAAGTCTGTATAGTCAAAGCTATGGTTTTTCCAGTAGTTATGTATGGATGTGAGAGTTGATCCATAAAGAAGGCTGGGTGCTGAAGAATTGATGCTTTCACATTGTGGTGCTGGAGAGGACTCTTGAGAGTCCCTTAGACAGCAAGGAGATCAAATCAGTCAACCCTAAAGGAAATCAAACCTGAATACTCATTGGAAGGAGTGATGCTGAAGCTGAAGCTCAAATACTTTGACCGCTTGATGTGAAGTGTGGGCTGATTGGAAAAGACCCTGATGCTGGGAAAGATTGAGGGCAAAAAAAGAGGGGGACAGGAGAGGATAAGAGGTTAGATAGCATCACCAACTCAACGGACCTGCATTTGAGCAACCTCTAGGAGATAGTGGAGGACAGAGGAGCCTGGCATGCTGCAGTCCACGGTTTGCAAAGAGTCAGACACGTCTTAGCAACTGAACAACAAATATTTGATGAAAAGTGAAAGACAAAAACAAAAATTTTACTCTATTGCACAGTT